GATGACTGCCAGTGGTTCTGAGATCACATCTGCCAGTTCTTTTAATACTCTTGGATGCAGTTCATCTGGCCCTGGAGACTTGAATACATCTAAACTAGCCAAGTATTCTTGTACTATCTCCTTAGTTATTCTGGGCTGTGTTTCCTTTGCTGAATCATTTGCTCCAAATTCTTCAGGTCGGGCATTGTTTTCTTTATCGGAGAAGACTGAGGCAAAGAAGGCATTGAGGAGTTCAGCCCTTTCTGTGTCCCCTGTTTGCATTTCACCATCTTCTCCTCTGAGTGACCCCACTGTTTCTTTGTTCTTCCTTTTGCTACGAACATACCCATAAAAGGCTTTTGTTGCTTTTAACCTCTCTAGCAAGCCTGAGTTCATTCTGTGCTTTAGCTTTTCTGACTTTGTGTCTACACGTGCTGGCTATTTGTTTGAATTCCTCTTTGGTGGTGGTTTTCCCCCTTTTCCATTTTTTGTACACATCCTTTTTTAATCTTAACTCAGTTAAAAGTTCTTTAGATAGCCACCCTGGCTTCTTTAGGCACCTTCCATGTTTCCGTCTCATTGGTATTGCCCGACGTTGTGCTTTTAGTATCTCCCTCTTAACAAACTCCCAGCCATCATGAACTCCCTTTCCTTTTAGTATTATTGTCCATGGGATCTCACCCAGCACTTCTCTAAGTTTTATGAAGTCGGCTTTCTTAAAGTCAAGAAATTGAGTCCTAGTATGCTTGGCTGCTCCTTTCCGCTGTATAGTAAACTTCAGAAGAGCATGATCACTCGTGCCTAATGATCCTTCCACTTCTACCCCACTAACCAGGTCATCAACATTGGTTAGGACCAGATCTAAAATGGCTGTTCCTCTTGTTGCTTCTCCCACTTTCTGGACAATGAAGTTGTCTGCAAGGCCAGTGAGGAATCTGTTTGACCTTATGCTCTTGGCTGAGTTTGACATCCAACAAATATCCAGGTAATTGAAGTCCCCCATTACTACTATCTCCCTTCCTTTTGCATGCTTGGCCATCTGTTCCAGGAAGGCATCATCCATGTCCTCCGTTTGGCTTGGGGATCTATAGTAAACTCCCACAACGAGGTCACTGTTATTCTTCTCTCCCTTAATTTTGACCCAAATGCTCTCACTTTGGCTTTGAGGTTCTAAATCTTGGATCTCTTCACAGGTATACACATCCCTGACATATAACGCCACTCCTCCTCCTTTCTTGTCTGGTCTGTTTCTCTGAAATAGATTGTATCCCCCCATTATTACATTCCAATCGTGGGACTTATCCCACCAGGTTTCAGTGATGCCTATTATGTCATATTTAGTTTGCTGTACCAAGAGCTCAAGCTCATCTTGTTTATTTCCCATGCTTTGTGCATTAGTGTACAGACATTGAAGTCCAGTAATCATTCCCCGTGTCTCTTATTTAAGGATTTTTCCTCCCACCACTAGGTCTGTGTGCTGTTTGCTCCATTTGGTCTATGACATTTGGATGATCATCTTCATCAATTGATAGACTCCTACCTTCAGGAGCACTGTCTCCCTCCCCACATTAGTCAGTTTAAAGCCCTCCTGATGAGGTTTCTGAGATTTTTGGCAAAAACATTCCTCCCAACCGTTGTGAGGTGCAGCCCATCGCTTGCCAGAAGTCCATCTTCAAGAAACTGCAGTCCGTGATCTAAGAATCCAAACCGTTCCTGTTTACACCATTTGCGAAGCCAGCTGTTCACTTCCACTATTTTCCCCTCTCTCCCTGGGCCACGTCGTTCAACTGGGAGGACAGATGAGATCACAATTTGTGCATTTAATTGCTTCAATTTCCTGCCCAGAGCCTCGTAGTCTCTTTTGATCTTCTGGAGGCTATTGCTTGCAGTATCATTGGTTCCCACATGAACCAAGAGGAAGGGGTATTTGTCAGTGGGTTTTATGATTCCTTGCAGTCGTTCAGTTACATCTTGGATCTTAGCCCCGGGAGACAGCACACTTCCCGAGACATCTTGTCAGGCCCACAGATCACTGCTTCTGTTCCCCTCAGTAGGGAATCCCCTATCACCACTACACGCCTCCTCTTAGGTTTGGTCGGGGTTCTTCCGTGAGCTGTCCGTTCCAAGGTCGCCTGCACATTCCCTGAGGACTGACTTTGCTGCTCGTCTTCATATAACTGATCAACTGTAATGAGGAGAGATCCTCAAATGGAGTCTGCTCTTCGTCTTCCATGCTAGGGGAGAGGACCTCAAAGCGATTGTGTATTTCTAAACAATCAGAGCGAACCTTGGGCCTCCTACTTCTTTGAGTCACGTTTCTCCATATATCTGGCTCCTGTGTTGGTGTACTAGCCTCCTTGTCAGGGAATCCCTGTCTCCTCCTTGGTGGAGACGTTGTGCTCTGCTGCTTCCAAGAAAAGCTCCAGCTCCCTAATTCTTTGGAGCGTAGCTACACGTTCCTCCAGTTGCTGGACTTTGTCTTTTAAGAGGGCAATCAACATGCAATTGCTGCAGGTAAAGCTGCCTGCAACCTTTGGCAAGATGGCAAACATTGCGCAGGAACCGCAGGCGACTGCAGCTGTTCCCTCCCCCTCCATCTTGAGAACGTGTCGTTGGGGCTGGCTACAGCGGTCCTCCATCAAAAAAAAAAGCGTAAAGACAGGACAAATAACTCCCCCCACACAAAAAAACAAACAAAAAAACAAACAAACAAACAAAAAAAACCCCTTGGTCTCCCCCAACAAACGTTTGAGACTAGATTTAGGGGAGCTAAAGGATGGATCAAACTGCGCGCGCCGCTGCCCTGCAAACTCTGATAAGCTCCTCCCACAGCTAATCACCTGCCTCAACAGAAACCCTGCCCCCTCTGACCTTTGCACAGGGAGAACAGCTAATCAGCCACAAAGAAACACACACACACAAGAAAACCCTTTTTGCTCCTTCTTCAACTGCTGCCCTGCAAACTCTCTGAAGAGCTGTCTGAAGAATCGCTGTGTTGTCTGATATGTTCACCCACAACTTAACACTTTCCCTAGGTTGAACTTCTGGGAACCTCTCACTGTGCTAGCATGCAGCCATTAAAAAAGAGATTAATCAAATGAGTTTAATCACTATGTTTATTTTGCTTTCTTTAATTGTATAATTTCAGGTTATACCTTTTTGTATCACGTTACTATTTCGCCTCATTATTTATAGCATTAACCCCCCTTCTTAATATACCCATATATTTAAAAAACTACTAACTAGAAATAATTCTTCATGCTTCTGCTTAGGTAGATTTTTGTCCACATAGCTTATGTCATAATAAATTCATTAGTCTTTAAGGTACTAAAGGAATTTTTCATATTTTTCCTCTGGGCTTACCTCCATCTGATTCAGGAGAGTAATTAAAACAGAATTGTATGGGGTGGGATTTTCTTGAGAGGAGGTAATTATTACCATTTCATACTCTCCAAGTAAACCTTTTCAAATGCAAGAACAGAGAATGCATTTCATTTTAATTCAGAAAATAAGCATACCTCAACTATTAGATGATTGGAGAAAATAGATATAGTATTTGCCTTGCTTTTTAGCATCAGGAGTTATCCCTTGAAGAAGTAATTGGATAGCATGTGTCTACAGTGGTACCTCGGGTTACAAACGCTTTGGGTTACAAACACTTTGGGTTACAAACTCCGCTAACCTGGAAGTAGTACCTCGGGTTGAGAACTTTGCCCCAGGATGAGAACAGAAATCGCGGGCCAGCAGTGCAGCAGCAGTGGCAGGCCCCATTAGTGAAAGCACACCTCTAGTTAAGAACAGTTTCAGGTTAAGAATGGACCTCCGGAACAAATTTAGTTCGTAACCTGAGGTACCACTGTATTCACTTCGACAGTTAAGAGAAAATCTAGTCTCACACTTGACTGAAATTTATTTATTTAGTATTGTGTGTGAGTGTGTGTGTGTATTTGTAAAAAAAATAACCTCAACACAGTTCATCACACACATTCCTCCAAACACCTCCGGTGTGCCTCGTAGAGTCTTTCGCATGTGTTATTCCAGATGCAGGCCAAGGAATGTAGTATATATCAGAATATTATAAGTTCTATTCATCAAGAAACCAGAAGTCACTTGGCCACACTTTCAGGGTCAGACTTTCCTCATGGGTATTAGTGAGTGTGGGTCTTGATTCCAGAATGTGTCCCAAACAACCATCCAAAAAGCACATGTGACATGTATCTCCATCTAAAGCAGATGACAAGAAAGAGAGTGGGGGGGGGGAGCTCACTTCAAAAATAGGATTTAAACCTCCTTTCAGTTTGGAAAATTTAAATACTATTTAGACAGCTTACTGAGTGTATTTCTTACATGTTATTTCAGTGACTTCAAAGGCAGCTGTCTTCTTTTGGTTTAATTTGGGGTTTTTTTTAAATCACATTATTGCCTGATACATGCAATCAATTATCTCCAATTGTACATATATGGGTCACCCTTACAACATCAGAGACTGAGAATTTCTACTATCACAGCTGCCTAAAGTTGTAACTAAGAGTGCTGCAAGTGTTACTCACCTCTCCTAAAACTTCTCCTCAGAATTATATGTACATTAACAAACGACAGGGAAATTATAGCACCTGTTTATTCCTGGCCATTGCACTCAGTGGGAGACCTTTCCTCTCCTGCATTTTTTTAAAAAAATAATTAAAAATGCAGTAAAATGGCTACATACAAATTCAATAAAACAGAATGCAGCACAAAGCAACACATAGTGTAACAATAACAGTTCCAAAGCAGCTCAAAAAACCTGCATTTTATTCTTTTTAATGAACAACTCCATTTTGAATTTCTTCTCACCATCAAGATTTTGGTGCAATTCATAATACTTATTAACTGGTAAATAGAGCAGAAAATTGAATCTGTTGCTACCAAATAGTCAATGAGTAGGAATTTTAAAAACCTAGATCTATTTGGAGTGACACAACACAGACGGGCATAGCTACTTGTTCATTTCCACAGAGGCAAAGCATTATGGAGAGGTAACAACCTGGGATAGCTAGGTTGGTAGAGCATGAGACTCAAAATATCAGGGTTGTGGGTTTGAGCCCCATGTTGGGCAAAAGATTCCTGAATTGCAGGGCGTTGGACTAGGTGACCCTCAGGGTCCTTCCAACTCTAAAGTTCTCTGATTATTATTTGCTCCTATCTCAACAGCCATTTTAGCTGCTCCCCAGTTTATATGGGAATATTCACAGCATTTTTAAGACAACTGCCGTATTATTTTCGAAGGCAGCATTTATTATATATGAGGGCTGGTAGAAGGGACAGTGGAGCAGCTCTTCCTCCTTCCGCTTCTGCCTCATTTCCTTCTCCTTAAAAACAATTGCTCCTTCCCTCTCCACAATGTATGCCCCTTCTCTTCTTTCCTGCCTAGACATTCCCTCCCCTTTACAAAGACATAGTTACTGCTCCAAAAGCAGCCTCAGTTCCTAGGAGTGTCAATGTCATTTATAAACTGTATTTCCATATATTATGCATCTAAAGTGTGAGGCCACTACAAACATAAGACCTGCGCAATGGAAGAGTGTTAGGCACAGTACTGGAGGCACATGTGACCATCTGTTTTTGCTGTTCATGGAAAACACTTTGGGTGAAAACTTTTAAAACAGGGTGCATAGGTTTTTAGTTACAACTTGTGTAAAGGAGCAGGAACTGTGCTAATGAAGTATCTGAGAAAAAGATGCACTCATTCCTAAATCATACACACACACACACACACACACACACACACACATATCTCGTAACCAAGGGCCAAACTAGATGTGATGTTAATTGTGTGACTGCAATTAGGGGAGGGGGGTTTAACTCTTTTTCTCTCTGCCGCAGTCCATTGATAAGCTACTGCTTATGTTTAAAGGAAGCTCCCATTGATGAAAAATGCAAATGAAAGATTCTGATGCAATTTTCTGGGAGCAGGGCAGGAAGCTACAACCTCCTATGCCCCATGATTCTGAGACGGCTCAGGCTTCCCAGCGAGTGACTACTATTTAATTTATTTATTTATTTATTTATTTATTTATTTATTTATTATACCGTTCTTCATCTGAAGATCTTGGGGTATCTTTAGATGCATAAATATACAAAATAAAAACACAAAATACATAATAGAACAAGAACAAAATAACCTAAAATGTCACATCTAGTTTCATCCAGAATCCTGGTTTTACAACAGTGGCCTATGTTCGCAAGTGAGAAATCTTTTTGAAAAGATGGAAAGTCAGTGCTTGATTGCAACATAATTTTAGGAACAACCCTCTGGACAGAAATTTCTGTAGATCAGTATTTCCCAAGCACCTGGCAGGTGAAGCCCTTTCCCTTTCTGAATTAAAATCTGAAGGTACACTGAGATCGCACAATAACTTTAAAAGTTGTACGTAAATATGTTACCATGTTATGTGATCCTAGAGAACAGGGGTGCCAATTTGAAGAAAGTATTATGGGGGCCCAGGTCAGCTCCGCCCCACGTAATCGATCACATGATGCAGTGCACATACACCATTTGAATGGGAATGCCCATCAACTCTGTAGGGGCCTGCCCCCCTCAAATATTTCATTGTGGGGGCCAAAGCCCCCATGGCCCCTAGGCATTGGTTCCTATGCTAGAGAAGGCCTCTGAACAGGACAAGCAGAGGAAGCCGTTGCCAAAGGGATTACTCTTCCTGGAGCAATTGGTCCACAGCTGCGTAAATTGTTTTAACCTTAATCATCCAGAAAAATGTTTATCTGTTGGTTTACTAAGGACAACATGAATCCTGGGAATTGTTACTGCAGGACACACACTTTACTGCTATACATTCTGAAAGTTATTCTTATGCTCAATCCTGCCCCTGGTAATGTGGCTCAAAATCTTGCCATGCCTAGTGAGTCAAATAATAGGGGATTCTGGATACTACAAGAACAGTCCAACATGGAGCACCACAAGTTTAGAGGTTGCTTCAGCACTAGTTAGGTTCAAAATTGGCAGCTTTCAAGTTAATGTTGCTTCCTCATTTGCCCTGACCCACAGCACTTGAGGAATTGGGCATTCTCCTTACAAGGAGTGTTCAGAAGGAGCTGTCCTTGAACTACCGGATGGGCACTATGACTCCAGCTTTGCACACACTGCCACCTCTGCATCTGAAGCCCAGGGAGTAAACTTGATGGGTTTGATAGGAGGGAATAGAATGAAGCAGGGGGTTGGGATTTCTCCAAACCAGAGGCCTCCTCAAGTGGAATATCTTCTCAGGGGAGGTCTTCAAAGGGTTATTGGTTTTTGCTAACGTCTCTAAAACCCCATCTATATCTGGGCCAGCAAGAGGGTCCTGCTCTTTTGCTGAGGTCTCATGAAGTTCAGGGTAGGTTGGTGGGATACAAAACAGTGTAGCATCCATTGTAGAGATGCAGTAGAATAATTCACCTTCAGCAGAGGCTGAAAAGAAAGAGGTAAAGCCAGACCAGCACATTTACAGCAGGCAGCTTCCTTTGTGGGCATTTTGTGCTTACAAAGGCAATTAATTAATTTCTTAGGACACACCATTTGGGAATGTCTACAGTAGACCAATCCTTAAAATGTTATTGTTAACTAAGACCCAATTATAGCATTTGCACAATTATGAGGTAATGATTGAAGGGAGCTAAATCCTTTAAATGCTTCTGCGGCTTGATCACCTCCTACTGAGAGGCTTCTCTACTGTGACACAGTTCACAGCAGCCCTTCTGAAGGTGGCAAAGTCATCCTATTCCACCCTTTAAAGCTGCATCAAAATCAGCAGATGATGGTTATAAGTGAGAGAACTCCGAAAGAGATTCTTGGTGTTTTCACACTGAGGAGGGGATGACAAAACTTGTTCCATAATAAAGCGAGTGTGATGTCAAAGGTTTTGTTAATATTCACACCAGGGATGCAGAGGGTCAGGGTTGGGATGAAGGAGACTTGGATTCAAATTGCTGTTCAGAGATGAAGCTCACTTGGCAGCGGGGGGGGGGGGGGTGAGTGGGGGATGGGGAGTGTTTACCAAAGAAGCAGACCAAAACCATGCATTTCTTAGGGCAACACCTTTAGACAGAATGACTAGGTACAAATTATTCAATCTAGCAACCCACAAGATAAAAGCAAAGTAACTTTCAGGGAAGGCAGACATGCCATCTCCTCAGTTTGTAAGAGAACCTAGCTTTTGTTAACTCTTTGACCATTACCAATATTTGGTTCTAATACAGTGGTACCTCTGGTTACATACTTAATTCGTTCCGGAGGTCCATTCTTAACCTGACACTGTTCTTAACCTGAAGCACCACTTTAGCTAATGGGGCCTCCTGCTGCTGCTGTGCCGCTGCTGCACGATTTCTATTCTCATCCCGAAGCAAAGTTCTTAACCCGAGGTACTATTTCTGGGTTAGCGGAGTCTATAACCTGAAGCGTATGTAACCTGAAGCGTATTAAAGGATTTGCTTCTGCGTGTTGCATTTTGCTCTCAATGGCAAGCAGAGCTTCCAGTGCAGAAAGTAAAGACTGGTTTTAGAGATCAGGAGCACTTCCTTTAATTCACAAGGTCACAGACAGATTCTGTTTACTTTTCTCAACTAGAGGTGCCCACCAATAATAGTCAATGCTAAACTTCTCCTTGGTTTTGCTGCTGACAAAGCTGCCCAAATATTGTTTAGGCAGTCAGAAATGGGATGCACCAAGCCAAGTTGGAAACATATTTTGCCATAGCATCAGAAAAGACAACAACACAAAACTACCTTTTTGGATCCCCACCCCCATAAAAATGATAACATTTACCTATGTTTACTTCATTGATATTTCATTAAATTCAGCACTGGGTAGGCAACTTTAAGGAATTGCAATCTATGCTGCTGCTGCTCTTGCAGCCGCCACAGAACAAACAGCTCACCTCATTCAAGGTCAAACCATAGTAGGGAAAACTCTTAGCTGGAATCTGAACAGCTATTGTAGGCTTTGCGGTCATGCTGCAGAAGACAATTAATGGACTACAGCCTGCACTAGAAGTGGATATTGGTTTTCATCTGATGCTTATTAGTTTGCATTCCAGGAGGTACCTTCTGAGTCATAATGATAATCTAACTTTAATAAAGTTCACAAAGTGGCAAACAGGTAAATAAGGTCTAAATTCTGGTAAGACACAGTGGTGCCCAAAATGTTTTGTTTATTTATTTAAGACCATTTCTGCACTGCTTAGTATATAAAAACTATTATTATTATTAGTATTATTAGTCTTATTCTGCCCATCTGAATGATTGCCCCAGCCACTCTGGGTAGCTTCCAGCAAAATATAAAAAACAAAAAACCTTAAAAAAAAAATTAAAACTTTCCTATACAGGACTGCCTTCAGATGTCTTTTATAAGTATGATATTTGTTTATTTCCTTGACATGTGATGGAAAGACATTCCACAGGGTGGGCGCCACTACTGATAAGGCCCTCTGCCTGGTTCCTTGTAACCTCACTTCTCGCAATGAGGGAACCGCCAGAAGGCCCTCAGAGCTGGATCTCAGTCTGAACAATGGGGGTGGAGATGCTTCTTCAGGTATACAGGCTGTTTAGGGCTTTAAAGGTCAGCACCAATACTTTGAATTGTGCACAGAAACGTACTGGGATCCAATGTACATCCTTTAGGACCGCTGGTATATGGTCCTGACAGCTGCTCCCAGTCACCAGTCTGGTAGCTGCATTCTGGATTAGTTGTAGTTTCTGAGTCACCTTCAAAGGTAGTCCCAGGTAAAGCACATTGCAGTAGTCCAAGCAGAAGATAACCAGAGCATGTACCACTCTGGGGAGACGGTGCGCAGACAGTAGGGTCTTAGCTAGCATACCAGAGGAAGCTAGTATACAGCTGCCCTGGGCACAGAATTGACCTGTGCCACCATGGACAGCTGTGAGCCCAAAATGACCTCAGGCTGGTCTTTCAGGGGCACAATTACCCCATTCAGGACCAGGGAGTCCCCCACACCCACCTGCCCCCTGTCCCCTAGAAACAGTACTTCTGTCTTGTCAACCTCAGTTTGTTAACCCCCATCCACTCCCCAACTGCCTCCAGACACTCACACAGGACATTCACTG